CCCCAAAACCCCAAAACCCCAAAACCCCTAGCTTTGACTATAGATTAAGTTCAAAATTATTAAATAATCGTGTAAGAAGCAAGTGTATTTAGTGATAAATTGATGATAATTTTAGATACTCCAAATAATGAATACTATGCTTTAGGTCACATATGATATTACAAGTATAATTCTCCTGGAATGTACTAGAAGGCCCAAGGATTCCTAAAAATATCATTTACTGCAATTTAATGAGGATTGTGATTTATTCTTACCGCTCAAGATAATACTCTGTCGCTTGCTTCAAGTAGTGATTTGGAATTAAAATGTTAGGATCAACAGATTGCCTATGATTGAAAGTCAGATTAGAAATAAAATTAGAAATTACCTGGTGATGGGATCGATATTCCCATTAATCTAAAAATGCTTTAATATTGCAGACTTTTCATAGGTAAATCCACTTTAAATGACAACTGGCTATTCCATAAGATCATCTGTGATTCTACAAATCAAAAAATCAGGTATTTCCTTGTGCGTGGATCGGTGCTCCCTTGCTTGATTTTTAGTTTCCTCATATCGAGGATCAGTCTGGTTCAAGTACTTTTCAAATCTTCCTAATATATCTTGGTCGTCTTAATGATTGTCCATCTTTCCACGAATCTAATACATCAATCTCTCCTTATCATGCGAATCGATTTCCGTTTACTTATACCATTTAATCTTTTCAGCCTTTTTAAGTGAGGTCTAAATTTCTTTTTCAAAATTCTTTTGGTTCTATTTGAAGCACATATTCAGAGCCTTTTTCATGCGCAAAATTCCTTTTTCAATTTTGGCAGTGTTTTTGTCATTCTTACCCAATTCAACCAGCGCTTCCCCATTTACTATATATGCCTTGATGTAACTATCATCCAGTTCAATAGCTTTCAGACTATCCTAGTATTGCTTATCAAACGTTTTAAGCATTTTAAAGCATTTGGCTCTATTCAGATAGAATGTTGGATTATTATCATTTATCATCTAGAGATAGAAATTAAATACTTTATGATTGATAACTATTTTTCTTGACTTACTATAGCTCTTGAATAAAGCTCTATGGCTTTCTAATAATCTTTCTGAGAATACCATAAATTGCCTTAATCTTTGAATTAGATGCTTAATTCTTTAGTCTCTTAAGCCATTTTATAATTTACAGAAACTTCTCGAATTTATTTTTAATAATTGACTATACTATTATTTTACTATGCTATAATTGCGGGGTTTTGGGGTTTTGGGGTT